AAAATAATCTCATTTTTAATTTTTATTAAACATAAAATTATTTTAAAACTAATTCCAAACGCATCCTTCATATTTCAACTTTGACTTGGTTGAGTCATTTGCCACGTCATTATCATATAAACTTGTTTCAGGTCTAAAAAGGACTTTTTTGTCATGTTTTTGTTTTCTTAGGGATTTATTTTAAACCTGATAATTTTCAGACCCAATGAATCATGTACAATAATGACATGTTTACTTACCAGGATTGAAGAGTGGGAGTGGGGAATGTGAGTCAATCCCATGTTTATTTGCTCTTTTTTATCCTGGAATGAGAGTGAGATTGGTGGGTCCCACTCAAATTTAGGATTGAGAAATGAGATTGGCATTCCCATGCCCCCCCTTGGGATTGAGACTCTTATTCCTAATATTAATATCAATTTAATATTATACCCTTATTTTACTTATAAATACACAATTAAAAATAAAATTCAAAAAATAATAAATGCAACATATATTTATTATTTTATTTGTCTAATATTATAATATTAGCATAATTATTGTTAACTTTAATATAATAAATATGTACTTTATCTTTTAATAAATTAATAATATATTTTATTTTTAACACTATTTTTTATTTTTATTTATTTTATTTAATTTGTTAAAATTTATTTTTATATTTTAAATAGTTGTACAATTTATATTTATTATTTTAGTACCCAATTATTACACTAAATATTTTAATTATGATTAATTTTAATATAATAAGTACACAATATATTTTTTAAATTGAAAATATCAAATTGATTTAAAGGGTATATTAATACTTTTACACTTGTTTTATATATTCCGATTCTGGGTGTAAGTAAACGTATAAATGAGATTTAGAATGACTCTGATTCCGAATGCTATCACTAAGTAAATAGCTTATTCTGACTCCGATTCCTCACTCCGAATCCTACCCACTCCGAATCCTGCCCATTCTGATTCATGCTCATTCCGATTACGCGTAGGTAAACATAATATAAGTATACGCCTCTGGTGATGATGTCAGAAATTTATTTCAGTGGGAGCATTCCATACTAAAAAATTGAAGTTCTAAAATAGGAATGTCGTTTTTCTTTACTCTTTTTTCTAATCGAACTTGGTTATGAGCATATTATCTTCAACCTAAGAAAACTCTAGTCCAAAAATAATATTGCTCTCTCTCTCTCTCTCTCTCTCTCTCTCTCTCTCTCTCTCTCTCTCTCTCTCTCTCTCTCTCGTTTTAGTTTTTCTTGTGAGTTAAGTACTATGTCAACGACATAATGTAAATATTATTAGAAAATATGGCATCGAGTGCGTGGTGAAATTTTAAAAAATTTAAATCAATGTCAAAGTCAATGAAGAACATGGTCATGATGCTATATAATATAAATACTAAATATCTAAATCATACTATTAGAGATTTATGAAACAACACGTTTGACAGATCAAAGCGTTCCAAACAGCAACTGGAAGAGCCTCAAGCAATTGGCCTTATTTGCTATTCTCATTTTTACGATTGGAGTGCGAGTGGACACACGTCGTTCAATTTTCTCTTGGTATTCTTGAACTCCTTCCAACCACAAGAGAGCTAAAGGAAAAATTAGTCTTGAGAATTAAACAATTTTTCCTCTCAGGAATCTTTTACCAATAGCCCCCAAAAAGTCTCTCAAGTGATCTTATGAATAATGTGACTTACTGGACTATTTATAGTGTTTAGGAAGTCATATATCCGTAACAATTAGGTTTCTCACAGTTTATCTCGCTTACAGAGTCGGTTTCGCCACGCTAGCATGCGCTACACGTTACAATCGGTTGACCGGTGACAGAGAAGTTATAACCCACCGGTCGACCTATCCTTCATGAACCGGTCGACCTGTCTGAACTAGGGAAACTTGTTTTCCTAGTTTTTCAACACGAGAAACTTACATAGAGCCTCAGTTTTGATTCAAGTAACTTAATAGGAAAGTTACTTAATCAAAACAGTCATATAATAGTCTTCCCACATTAAACAACTCTCAAAACAATAATTCAACCAATTTATCTAGAATTAATTTAACAATTAATCTTCTCGATAAATTTCTCATGAATTAAACAGCCCGAAACATTAATTCAACCAATTTATCTAGAATTAATTCACCCGATAAATTACTCATGAATTAAACATTCACAAACATTAATTCAACCAATTTTATATTAACTTTGAACCCCTTTTACGGAAATAACACAAGTTACCAATATGTAGGAAATATGCCATATCGTTATAGAAAATTGTGTGAGCTAGCAAAGGGACCCGATAGACATATATAAATCAAGCTCCTATAATCATAACGCTACTTGTAAACCAACAAGTCCGTCTCATGATTATAAAGCTCTAGTGCTACCCCACTAATTGCTTAGAGCTGCACTCTCGATTTATATAACACATTTACAAAGCTCTGAATAGCTCTCGTCCATGACTCAATATATTAGTGTATCGTTCCCATATGATATCCATAATTGACTTGAGGTCATGTTTTGTTTTACCTTCCCGATTACATTTATCTTATGTTCCATTACCACTCCATCGAAAAATTACTATTCGTACCATTACAAATAGTAAACCTTTAGATAATATAGAGTAGTCTAATGGCCGAGCGCTCGTATTTTCTAATCCACAGATTAGAAGATATCATCGACTCTTTATAGGAGCTATGGATTTCACTATCTATGAATAACGAATCTACACATAGATGAGTCATACCCTTAATGTACTGGTAAGCGTACCTTTATATAATATCAGGATGTCTCCCTTTGGTACATCAAATGATACAAGTCAAGCATACGGGTTCATTATCCATCTCAGGATTAAGATGACCACATATAATTCATCAAAAGTGAATTGTTTTATACAAAAGAAATTAATAATTAAAATAATTCAACTTTAGTCCGACCCAATATAGATTTCACCACTAGAAACTATATCAATGTCTCTACCCATGGAGACCCACCTCCAACGATCAAGACAAGTCGTCTTCATTAGGAAGTAGACAACATAACAATCTTAACATGAATAAAGCTCCCAACTTTATTCCCTCAATTGTGGATCATATGATTTAGACTATCATCTTTAGATTCATGTCTTCTGCATGTTCTTCTCTTACATGCATGACCTAAAGATTTAGAATAACAGTCTCAGACTTTTACTTTGCTTATCATACATTCAACTAATATGAACATAAAGAGGATAATACATGGATATATGAAATAAATAAATATTTATTAATAGTTAAAATGTCTCAAAGAACATTGTTACATTTATTCCTAAGGCATAAACACTAATAAATATACTAATGAATTTTAATAAATCCATTTGTTTCGCTGGTTAAAAAAATGATATTTTGAGTTAAATACTACATAAACGACATTATGTAAAAACATTAATCAATTTTCATAAATCCTTCAATATAATTTTTTTCTTCTAATTGTACTTAATCGTAGTAATATGTATAACATTTAATCAATAAGTATAACTTTGCATAACTACTAGTTGTTTATGACAAATTTTGAAGAACAGATACCTAAAAGCTTTCTAAACAAAAAAACTAAGCGAGAAAATATGAATATATAAAAAAGAGGAGAATTCACAAAAAGAGATTGTAACCATGGATTAGTGTGAAAAGAAAACTGAGTGGGGGAAAATTAAAAAAGAAAAAAAAAAATACTATATAGAAGTGCAAATTTAAAAAAAGTCGGGGCACTGGCCCCACGGGTCCTATAGTGCATTCGTCCACCTCAAATATTTCCATGGGAAATTGCAGTAAAGAATACAGTTTTGAAGCTAAATTAAGTAAATGATAGATTTAAAATTATTTGAAGTAAATAGTAGTTTACGTGGTATATGAATTCGTTTATAATAGATAAAAAATAATTTATGTAGTAAAAAATCTTTATTTATATAGCAAAATTTTTTTATACCAGTCGTAAAAAAAAAACTTTACGTAAAAAAAATATTTTTACTAACTGTAACTAAACCATTTACGTGGTAAATAATTTATTTATCACGTAAACTGTTATTTATTTTAAATAATTTTATAAACTACTATTTATTTCAAATAGTTTTAAAATTTATTATTTACTTAATTTAGTGTGAAAAATATGCTATTTACTACATTCTCCTTATTTTCATTATTATTTTTTAAAATTTGAGTTTCTACTTTAATAGAAGGGTAAATTTGACGTTTCACATCTTAAAAATCGGCCTGTATGTACTAAAAAAACATTTTCGCAAACGTCGGAGTACTCACCTGATATTATTAAAAATACATATACTAAATGCATATTTCGATATAAATTAGGAGTGACAATTCGTGTTAATGGGTCGTGTTCGTGTTCAACCCATGTATTAATCGTGTCAAAAAATATCAATCTAAACACGATACATTTATTAAATGTATAAAAAATGTCAACCCAAACACAACCCGTTAATTAATCGTGTTAATCGTGTCGACTTGTGTAACCCATTTATATTAATATATTCAATAAATAATTGATACAATTAAGATTTATTTAACACGACCACGACACATTTAACAATTTTATTAGTCAATTTATTGTTTTTTTTTAAGAAACATAAGTAAATTTTATCTAAAAATTTTGAAATACATAATTTGTCTTTGATATATCTTATATAATTAATTTACAAATAATACATAGAGTTAATCGTGTAATTTTAAATCACTTCCTGTCAAAAAGTCAATTTTAATATAACTCATTTATTAATCATATTAATCTTATCAACCTTATTATAAATTAAATTTATTTATTGTAAACTCAAACTTAATAACTGCGTGGCGTAACTCAAATTGTAACCCCTAAATTTATAAATACTAAAATTAATAATCCCATAATTTTTTTCGTAGAAATTTATTATTATTTTTTAGAGGAAAAAAAAAATGAGACAACCGTCAACCAAAAAGGAGTGCCTACGGCACGTTCATACTAGTCCTTGAAAACGTGTCAAGTGGAACTGGGCAGGCACTTCAACGGACCTGGTATTCGGTTTCAGAGTTGAACTCGAATGTATGCCCATAAAGATTGAAGGTCATTTTCCCAAGAATATCTCTCTCTCTCTCTGTATTTTTTTTTTTTTTTTTTTGTTGGATGAGCCCCAACAATCTTTTCAATGGGGACAATATCAACCCTGTCATTCCTCATCCTTAACTTACTCATCATCTTTCATTTCTCATTGAAAGCTGCAGCAATCAGGTATGTGATTTCTCCTCCTTTTCTTTTCCGGTTTCCTAATTCCGAGTCTTGGTGGGTTTTTCCGAAATGGGTATGTGATTCTTCACTCAATTCAACCAATCAATTCAGTTCTATAATAGGAAATCAGCAAAGTTAAGATTTTTGCCGTGAATTGGGGTTTTTATGCTTCTTTTAATGGAGTCGAATTCGCACTTGATTTGATAATATAATACTTCCATTTGTTGTGCTCATGGGGACAAAGGAAGAAAAATTCTTACTTGATCCCACAATGCGGTTATTTCTCGTATTCTTTTGGATATATGTCGTCCTGTCAATATGGTTTCTGCTTTATCTATATGTGGGTGCAAGCTTGCTTGAAAAAAAAATAAAAAAAAATAAATCTTACTTATGCATAGCATAATTAAGTTCTTAAAAAAAAATTCATGTTTATTTGTATGATGTGTACTTCTGAATGGTTTCTTTAAAGAAAATTTATGAATCGTCGTGATTATTGTGTTGTTGCTTAACATAGCAAATTTTACTTAATAATATTAATCCTATTGCTTCGCTTGTATGTTCACAGGAAGGATATTGGTTTCCAAGAGAAGGGCATTTGTAGGAATACGGTTCAAGGACGATACTTAATGTCCGACGACAATGGTAAAGATTTTTCCTTCTCTGAATTTCCACTTATACTGTTACTTTGCCCTTTTTATGACCTTTTTACTCTGCAAAATCATTAGAAGAAATAATCGTTATATCTATTTTTGTCTTTGCGTAGTTGTTTAATGAGGAGATTTCTGTTATATTCTAAGGTCTTATCTTCTTGATTGTGATTTTTATATAAGTAATGATGTTTAATTATGTCCCTAAAGTCACCAATTTCGTTTCGGTGTTACATGCTTAGTAAGCATAATTATGTAAAACAAGATGTTGCGGAACCCTCTAATTAGTTACAAAAGGTTCCCTCACATTTCTTCTGCCCTCTATTTGTTTAAATCTGATGTAAGGAAAAGTCTTGAGTCTTGACAAATTAAAGGTGGCAATGTCAAGAATATAAACAATAAAATATTGGCAGACAAACAGTGATACCTGTGGAGTGTAATCTGATCATTTTCAACTTATAAAACCTGCAATTTTCTGTTGTTTGTGTTGTGCTCTCATGCTCATTCTCGGTATTTGCAATGTAGGTTATGTTTGTGATGCTTTATCAGTTGATCCAGAGTCTCGGTGTTGTCCTGAGTTGGGAGACAAATTTTCTTGTCAGTGAGTTCTCTCTGAAATGGAGCTTTTGAACTGTTGACCATAAGCAAAAAAAATGGAAAAATTTGCAATAATAATAATAGATATGTATATATATTTTCTTCTTGCAGGGGATGCAACCTTCTTTCGCAGTGCTGCAATTCGTACGAATACTGCGTTTCATGCTGCTTAAATCCGTCAAAGGTAATTTCTTTAGTGCTCCCCTTTTCTTTTCTTTTCTTTTCTTTTCTTTTCATGCTATATTTATTTCTTATGATGTAATTACTGCCCACTGGAATTTATTATGTAGACACTGCAGCAGCATGTCATAAAGGTGAAGATTGCAAAACCAACTACTGCAGGTGAGATCACTATTCTTTTCTGCCTGAAAAGGCATTACCACTTTAGGTTTTCCTTCATTATGACTTATATTTAGGTCTCATACCGGGGATATTAAGTTTATGTCCATATCCAGGAAAAAGAATCACTAGTCCTGCATCAAGGATTTTACAGCTTTGTTGTAAATCGATACTGAATTTTGATATGCTTCCTTCAACTGGGTTCTTGCAAGTTTCCAGTCTGATTTAATTATGAGGGATACGATTTAGTCTATTTCTGTGTCGTTTTGTGAAGTTGGAGCTACTTATCTTGGAGTTAGCCGACCCTTTGGTGGAATTTCTCATGAATAATATATGTTCATAACTTGTTTGGCAGGAACTTATGCAAGTGTTTTTGATTTTTGTGCCGGAAGATGTCGTCATAATTCTGATAGTGTGGTAAGTAATACGTTCAATAGATAATTTAAAGTATTTCCTTTGTGAGGAAAGTTATTGCATTTTCTAACCTCGTAAGATACAAATTGCTTTTAATTTTTTAATGTATGATGGTAATAATGTCTCATCAACTATGTTAGTTTTCAAAAATAGTATCTCAAATGTTAATTAGATTTTTGTTATTGGCTATAAATTTTGGTCTCAGTATAGTTATAGTTTTCAGGAGGAACTTATAACCAAAGTAACAAAGAAGAAAATAAAGCTTCCCTATCTGTCTTATGTGCATTGAACTCCTTTTAATCTCGATTATCATCTCATCGTTGGGTTCTTGTATAATTTTGCGCAATTTATTTGTTTCATAAGCTTTTATGGCAACTGAATGTGATCCAACATTTCAGGTTCACGAAAATGCATATCTGAGTGATTTTCATCATTGTTTTTCTATGCCATCGAAGTCTCAAGGTGGGATAAATATTATTATCATTGACCTCCTATTCATATTTATAATGGAGATGGTTCCATTTAAATTATTTTATCTTTATGTTATCTGGGACTAGATATCAGTTTAGGCATTTTGTTTCCCTCTAAATTGGTTTTTTCTATGCCATCGTAGTCTCCTTGGCATTATTATTATTATTATTATTATTATTATTATTATTATTATTATTATTACTACTACTACTCCTCCTCCTACTATTGCTTTTTTTTTTAAAAAAAAAAAGAAAAAAAGAAACAGGGATCTTTATTGATCAAAAAAGTACAGAACAGGGAGAAAAGAGGATGAGTTTTCCTCAAGCAACCATGTTCCAAGATTACAAAGGAAAATCTTTCTATTGCTTTTTAATTCGTACTATATTAAATTGCTTTTTAATCTGTACTATATTTTTATTTTGCTGAAATTTTGTTTCAACAAGTTATATAGACAAGCCCACTTATTATCTTCTCATTGGAAGCAAAGTACAGTGACTAGAAAGCTGAACTTATGTGACTTTAACTTATGGTTGATAGGGGCAAATTCTACACAGGTAGAAGCCAGACTTAGTGGCATTAATATTGTTGTTGGAAGGTGAGGAATCTTGGTTATTATTTTCTCCTCTTGGTTCTATTACTGTTTGAATCCTGATTAATGTATTTGGACTTTGGTGATAGACAAGGGGAGTCATGCGATTCAGTTTGCAAATTGAATGGACAATCTTGTGTTCCAAATAAGCTTTTGGTCCTTAATCAATGTGACATGTAAGTTGTTTCTGATTTCTTTGTTTTCTATAGGACACCACTGTCTTCATGTTCTCCTTTTATATTTTCTTTTTTCTCACATTTACAACATTTTGTTCTTGTTCCTTGCAAAATAATTTTGTTAATTACCGAGAAGCCTCTGTTAAGGCAGTTGTTTGGTAGGAAGCATAGGCGAATGTAGTTGGTTATCGGTTATGATAGTGAATTGTAACAAGTTGTACAGGTGGGTGAAATTGTAAACATAACAATGAAAGAATCATTAGTTTGTTAAGGTGTTAGTTACCGGTTGTTCTAGAAGGTACTGGTGGTTTTAGAGAATAAAATGGGGAGGAGTTAGGGAATTGGGGGTATTGAAGATAAGAAAAGTGTCTTGGAATCCATTCCACGCAGGGGAGACTTAACAGTGTATCAAATTACTTCTGGTTAGGAACTTTTTTTGCAAAGCTGAATTTCAATATAGAACGGTGTTTCATTCTTTCTCAGTTTCTTTTGTTAATAGTGTTTGGGAAACTTATCAATAACCAAAAAAAAAAAAAAAAAAATATGTAAGTTGATCAGCTTTTATTATTTGTTTTCAGAAATCTTCATTAATTCGGTTCATTATCTTTCAAATATTTCATTACTATGTTATTGCCATAATTATTGTTTTTGGTTGAAATTGTTCTATGTCCTATATATAGATTATACAATCTTTTTTGCTATTATTATTAATAATCCTTTTATGGCTGAGGGGCAGGGTAGATGACCTGCGTCAGCTTTTTTCTTTCTTTTTTCTTTTCATAAGAAAACTTCCTTTCATTGAGGGTTCCTCCAAAACAAAAAGAGGAAAACAGAAAAACAGAAAACAAGCAGAAAGAAGTCTTAAAGAAAAAACTAACTAGCAAAAATAAATAATTTTCCTATGACATCCTTCTATTTTAACACAATCAGAGAGAAAGGAAAATCCTTGAAAGCGTATTCTTTGTGGTTTGAGATTTTGAGCTTGTGATCTTTCAGTAAGAAAAGTATCTTTCCCGTACAGCATGCAGAAATATATGAGATGTAAAGGAGCTTGTTTGGCAAGTATGGGAGCAGACCAGCCTGCTGAAGTTGCTGATGATGCTCCTAAACATTTGGTAATTCTTCTTCTTTCTCATTAAAGTTTGAGTACTTATTGAATCTTTTCCTGATAATTTACAAGTTGTTCTTAATATTTCTTTCAAGTATGAATGTACGCTTGGCTGCGAAACTGGTGCTGTATGTATCTAGATGTCGGAATGCGTTATCGTTATGCCCACTTAATTACTTGCTACAATCTTCTTGAGACCACTTAATCTAAAAACTTGTGATGCTAACTAGGATTATGTATTTTCTGTGACCATCAGAATCCAGGAGCATGTTTGTATACCAGGACGCAGTCGATGCTTTCTTGTGATGGTTCACATCAGCACACCAGGAGGCTATGCCCTTGTGCGTAGTGCATTTACTAGTTGAGTTGGAATTCCCATGACGAGGCCAAAAAGTGTTGAGAAGAGTTTGAACTTTGAAGTCTAGTGCATCAAGTTTCATTTTGCAAACCTTTATTTAAGTATCATATTTGAGGCTCTACAATACAGAAATCATAAAGGTTTGAGTGCAACAGGGGAAAAAGGTTTCAATTATTATTTTTTTCATTGGCCCTTTTTGAACCCATAATTTCTATTTTAGAAGGCTACCCAAGCAACCAAAATTTTATTTCATCAATGTTTTCGAGAGGGTTAGACTTAGATGGATAGATATGTCAATGCCTTGATTTGCCTCCTAGCGCTCTTCTTTGTATTTTTTGTTCTCTGTACGCATTGTAAATTTTCTTGGCTAATAATAATCTTTTCAAGTTGTTAAATGCTACATCGGAAAGCATCCTCAAAGCAACAAAAACTGGGTGTTTGTTGTTACTTTTCTATTATTGCTCCTTTCATATTTGATTCATGGATCTTATTAAAATAAGGATTACTTTCATAAATGCCCCTAGACTTTGTACTTTGTTTCAACGTTGCCCCCTAAAATTTGAAAATGATTCATTTTACCTCCTGAAATTAGTTCCAAATCCTCCATTTCTTTAATGACATACTGTGATTAAACTTGTCATCTTTCTGCTTTTTAGATTTCTGTATCCAAAAACTTGACGTTTCTAGCATTACTAGATGCATTCCACGTGCATAGGACAGTAATTCGTGTATTAAGTTTTTATTAGTGTTATTATTCTCTTAATTCTTTTAATAATAAAGATTTTAGTTAGTACACAATTAACACAAACATTTATAAGTATCGTCATTAAATATGGATACATCTAAATATATATATTTCAATAAGATCACTCAATTAAAAAAACTGTTTAATATTTTTTTTTTATAGAATGAAAATAACTATTTAAAAGTACATTAAAAAACGATTGCATCGTAGAGTCTTGACAACACAAACAAAAAAGCAAAAAGAAAAATATAAGCACATGCACTTATGAACGAAATTATCTTAATAAGAGTAAAGTAAAGGAAAAATTGCATTTCAAAATCATCCAATAGAAACAAGTTAGAGAGAATGCATGTATTAGAAAATAATAGTTGTAATTCAATAAGGCGTAGAGAAAAGAAAATATGCATCACAGTAAAGTTTTTCAAAATAAAGTGTTTCGAAATGAGAAACATTTAAAAGCATAAAAAATCCTAAATGAAAGAAAAATATATGTATATATATATATATATATATATTTTTTTTTTTTAGGGCAAGCAACAAAAAAAAAAGTAAGAAAGGACTAAAATGAAAATATAAATATGTTTTAGGGTAAAAACAACAAAAAAAAAAAAGAAAAAAGGAGGAACGAATAAAAGGTGAAAAGGAATTAAAAAAAGAAGAGAAAAAAATATGAACAAAAAAGTAAAAAAGAAAAAAATGAGGGACCAAAAGATAAAAAAGAAAGGCCAAGAAGGACTAAAAAATAAAGGGAAAGAAAAGGAAGAAAATTAGACTTTTATGGCATGCAGCGAAAAAGGATAAAAAAGAGGACTATGATGAAAAAATAAAAATGTTTTAGGGCAAAAGGCACTAAAATGAAAGGAATAAGAAATAAAGTGCGTGTTTGGAACCGTTTTTTTTTTTTTAGGGCAAGCAACAAAAAAAAAAGTAAGAAAGGACTAAAATGAAAATATAAATATGTTTTAGGGTAAAAACAACAAAAAAAAAAAAGAAAAAAGGAGGAACGAATAAAAGGTGAAAAGGAATTAAAAAAAGAAGAGAAAAAAATATGAACAAAAAAGTAAAAAAGAAAAAAATGAGGGACCAAAAGATAAAAAAGAAAGGCCAAGAAGGACTAAAAAATAAAGGGAAAGAAAAGGAAGAAAATTAGACTTTTATGGCATGCAGCGAAAAAGGATAAAAAAGAGGACTATGATGAAAAAATAAAAATGTTTTAGGGCAAAAGGCACTAAAATGAAAGGAATAAGAAATAAAGTGCGTGTTTGGAACCGTTTTTAAAAACGGTTTAAAGTGCGTGTTTGGAACCGTTTTTAAAAACGGTTTAAAGTGCATTTGGAACCGTTTTTAAAAACGGTTTTCACGTATTTGAAGAAGCAAAAAATGAAAATGAAAACGAAACGATGTTTGTTTAACAAATGTTTTGAAAACGAAAATGAAAATGAAAATAGGAAAAATAGTTTTTGTGAAGGAATTAGAAAACAGTTTAAAGTTATTTTCACTTTTCTGTTTTCAATTTTTAGTACTTATCAATAATATTATAATATATTAATTAATAAACACGATTTCACATTTTTGTATACTCAAAACAATCTCTTTAAGAACTAACCAAATACAATTTCAGAATAAGTTCCAGAATGATTCTCAAAACAATCTCATTTTTACTTTTGTTGAAAATAAAATCATTTTGAAACCAATTTCAAACGCACAAGTTTTTGTACAAAAAGTAAAAAAGAAGGTAAAAAAGGACCAAAATGAAAAATAAATAAGCATTAGGGTAAAGAAATCATAAAAAAAAGAGAGGAAGGACTAAAATGGAAAAAGAAAAAAAGAAGAACAAAAAAAGTAAAAGAAAAAAAGGAGGGACCAAAAGATAAAAAAGAAAGGCCGAGAATGACTAGAAAATAAAAGGGAAAGAAAAGGAAGAAAAAAAAAAACAAGAAGGGACTAAAATGGCTTTCAACCAAAACCAAAACTATGGCGTTTTGCGGAAACAATTTTTCCATTACCTGCCCAATGTCATTCTAATGTGTACAGTAGTATATATTTAAATATATATACAATAAACCAGCCAAAATTTCATTAACTTATATATATATATATATATATACACATATTATAACTATTTTGAAACGTTATTATATATAGCCAAAAAATATTTAATAACGTTTTTTTTTAGAAATGCTATAACTAACCATTATAAAAAGATTGTTCTGTTGTAGTGTGTTAGGGAAAAACACACCACTACAGTCACACAACAGAAAAATAAACTGAAACAAAAATAACAGAAAAATATAGAAGATAAAAATTTAAGTGGTTCGGAAAAATTTCCTACGTCCGCAGAAGAGGGAGAAAAACTTCACTAACAGTTTCAGAATTACACACTCAACAAACTTCTCTCTTTTTCTCTCTACCCAAAATCCACTTACACGCTTTGCTTATCTTGTTAGGAATGGTGCCTTAAAAGCATGAGATGTAATATGATATTTATTATTTATTTAATAAAAGAGTTTATTCATTTTTTTTATGTGCATATATTTATAAATATTTTATGAATATCAAGGAAAATTTCATGATTATTTATGTGACCTTAAACGTTGTATATAAGTGTTATATGCGAGAGGATAATATTTATAGATAATAATCATGACGGTGTTCGTAATGAATTTAATTAAAGTTCGGATCTTTAATTAAAACATTATTAATACACGTCATTCCCGTTTAGAATGGAACACTGTTATCCACACTGTTAATATGCCGAGATATTAAATGAGTGTATTACGCATAATGAGATTATGTGAAATAAGGCCACATACACAATATAAATTTTTGATAATTTACGTTAAGTATAGAAATTCTAATTGAGTCTACTGATGGTCATATATAGAATGATCTTAATCTTGAGTTCTTAACAGACTCTTATTTATGGATTTGTGTCTTTTGATATACTCAATATAAATTACGAGATCCTGAATCCTATTCCTTGTATTTTGGAGACATGATGAAGTAGGTAGCCAGGAATGTTATTATACGAGATGGAATCCATTCCTTCTTGAGAAAGAAGTAGATAAATAATTCTCTTGAGGGTTGGTTCGATACTTGGACCAGTAGGAGCTCCGATTCATGAATTTGTTTTATGAATCATTGTCCATTAGAGAATTAATTGTACTCAAGGATAAAGATGTAATTAGAGAGGTTAACAAATTTCACCTAGCTCTAATTATGAATTATTTATGAAGGATTGATATATATGTAGTGACTATATCACATGGACACTTCACTGTTTAGAAGTAATTTATGTATATAATTACGAGAGTGCAATTTTAAGTTTATAGTGGAGTAACTATTGGAATTAATAACATTAATTAATCAATTAAAGTGTTTAATTAATTATTAATATTATTAGAGCTCGAAATTATAGGTCCATGAGTCCCCGCGTCGTCCTTGTAATTATACAAGACACTAAGAGCAAAATGGAAATTTTAGAATTATGAAATTCTAAAATTAAACACTCAAGGATATTTAATTGAGAATTAATTATTATTTAAATTCAAATTTGAATTTTGGAGCACTTATATGAAGGTGTTCACATAGTATGAACGTAAGACACAATGTGAACATAAATGGAATTATCCATTTAAACTTATTTGATAAGTTGTTCAATTTGAAATTCAATTGATTTAAGTTTGACTTAAATTAGAATTTAAATTTGAGTTAAAATTGAACTACAGAATAAAAGAGAATTTTCTCTTCCTTCTCTATCTGTATTTGGCATCACCATAGGGATAAGATCCTAAAGCTTGGCTGGCCATATACGATAAAGGGAAGAGAAAATTTTGCTCCAAATTCAAATAGGAGATAATTAACAAACTTTATCTTGGAGATAAAGATTGGATTTCTTCTAGTAGTCTAACTACTAATCTATAAATAAGAAAATAGTACAAAATTGTGTAACACAATTTTTTGCTCTTATTTTTCTATAGTGGCCGAAATTCACAAGAGTTGTGAGAGAAAACATTTTCTCCAAAAGTTCCACGTTGTGCATGCGTTGGTGTTCGTGGAAATTCTTGAGTGTTTTTGTTAACCCGTTTTGTTTCAGGCATACCCACACACGTCTTTGTGGATTCAAGAAATTGACGAGGAAGGCTCGGATTTTCTAAACAAAGCATTGGAGCGAGGATTGTTCGAGGTCAAAGAACTCAAGTTATCATCCTAATCAGTCGCTAGGTATAATTCCTAATTCGGTTCTTGATAAATAAATTAATGAGATTAATTTATTCGTTCATAAATTAATATAATCTATAGAGCATCTCAAAGGTTTTATGAAAATTTTTGTTATACACGATCCGCTACCCCCATGCTTCTGCATCCGAATTCGATTTGGAAACCAACATATCTCTCTCCTCACTTTTCTCTCTTTCTCTCAAAAGGAGACACTCTTTCTCTACACTTTTTTCTTAGCACACCTTTTCTTTTGAGTACACATAAAACTTTACACAAAGTACTTATTTATAAACTCCTAATAACCCTTGCCCAAAAATAGAAAACAGTAACTTACCAAACAACACGATCCCAAAACCAATTTGAGGCACTTACCCAACAATCTCCACCTTGACTCAAATTCTCTTAACTCACTCATTTGGGTATCCAATCTCGAAACTCGTCGTCACACC